GTCAAAGGGACAAATGCTGTTATGTCCCAGGTGTAATGGACATCACCATTGAATTCATATCAAAAAAATAGGTTCAGAAAACATATAGCATGTTATATTTTGGCTATCATGGCTGAGTGGTTATAATGCTTGCATTCATTTGTTCACATGATCATATAGTGATGCAGGGTTCAAACCCCAGTGAGGGCATTTTGTTTTGGTGATTTCAAACCCAAGTCCCTCACGAGTAAGTCAGTACTCCAGGTGAACTCCTGATGTGCTCTGGTTGGACTCTTTGTGGACTCCTCATGGACTCCACTTAGACTCCACCTGGAGTCCTTGTGGAGTGTAGGTGGACTCCTAAGGACTCCACCCTAACCTGTGGCTCAGTGTAAAGTGCTCGTAGAATAGTAGACCATTAAAGTTCATACCAGTTAGACAAATGGTGATTTCATTATATATTTTTAAAAAAGACATTAGTCGTCTAGATGTATATAGGTTAAGGCTGTTCCAGCTTGTAGTGATAATAAATGGTGCATGTGCGCAATAGAAAGCTGGTTTCCACTGTCAAAATAATTGGCACTCAGAGAGTGTATTCATTCGTTCTCACTTGATGCCGCCACATCTCTCACAGTCATATGCACTCTCCAGTCCTATAATAATAGTAAGTGAGGAAGCCCAAGTAGTCAAGAACATGATACTTATTATGCATGTGTGCAGCAATCAACAGAAAATGCACTGGTGCGAAAGACAGATGCACATACCATGAGCATTAACTAAAAACTCATTCAGGGTCACAACCAGACGCACCAAGGGATGCTTTTCAATTACCTCTCCAATGAGGAGATGGAGCTGGTGTTGTCAGCCATATCCATCCCAAGCCTATGCAAACTTGCAGCTACATCCAAAGCCTCCTATGCGATAGTTCATTGTCATATATATGATCGCCTCACCACAATGCTTTGGCCATTCTTCAGCAATGTCCAGGAATTCATGGCAGTGTTGGCATCAACAGAAACTGTCATATCTGGATCGCAGGCATTGCATTTCATGATGCCACCATACAACTGCAGCTGGGCACCTGCCAATATGGATGTGTATACGTCCTCAAAAGGATATGAGGAGTTGATTAAGTATATTGGGGACAAAGGATACAAGATGCTCAATGATGGGAAAAAGAAGCAAAATGGTTATACCACTAGCAAGGGCTTTGGAGGGATACAGTTTGTTACCGCCATGATCAGAGGTGACTCACGGATCGACATCATAGTATCAGCCCATGTGTCACCCATAGTGCCCATTTTTTACTTCCACAGCACAGTTGTCACCAACTTCATCTCAGCCTACAGATTCTTCTCTGCATATCCCCTCCTAACTGAAGCATACCGTGGCCTCATCAACCTAAACACCTTTGCTCCCCTGCAAGGACCGACTCCAAAAATCCAAGGGTGCCTTCAGAAATACACCGATAGAGGATTTGATATCCGATACAACTCAATAACATGGGGAATAGCTGATGCAGCCAGTGCAGAGATTGTCATCAAAGAAGGGGAAGTACCACATGATTGTCACCACAGTTACATGTGCCCACACACTGTGAGGACAACCTTTGACAGGAGCTGCATGTTCATTCTGTTCCGCACAGTGGAGTACACAAAGAAAAAGAAGGAGAAGAAGCATGTTCATTGAACATACAGGGGTAGATATGGAATAACATGGAACATTGGGGGACCAAGCTGCGATGAGACCTATGATACCATGCAACCATTTGTAGCTAGTACAGGATTTAGTTGTCAAGATTAACAGGTATATACAGCTCTTGCATTATTCATGCTATCAATTAGAATACATATAAATATGCATTTTGGTGTCTTCAGCGTCACCTATGAACTCTGAATCATTAATTTTAAAAATAAGCAGGGCAATACACATGCCAATCACAGAAACAATTGCACAGCAATAGCCTTTTCAAGCAGCCGTAGCTGTAAGAAAAATGTATTAAGTGCTGGGGTAGGCCCATGGCCTTCATTACATTAAGGCTGGAGTAGCGCTCGTGGGGATACATTATATCAAGCTTTGGCATGTTAATATATTAAGAGGGTCCTTAATACATTATCGTCCTCCGGCGGCACAGGGCCCCGCCGGGTGGAATTTTTTGCCCTTGGTCCAAAATGGTCAACCCTGCGCCTTCCCGCCGATACCGCATTTGATTGGACGTGCCTGAGAATTGATGCGCCGATTCTCGTATCGACCGCTTGCCTAATTTGGGTCGTCTTTTCCAATTAATCGCAGCTCAAAAAGCTCGGCTCCTGGCTCCATTCCATTTATTCTTTGCCTCAGTCAGATATGGTCAGTTGAACACTTATCTTTTCATGTTTTCTAATTATGCAAATTACAGTAGCATGAATGCAGAATTTCTAGCAGGCACATTTCTGATCCATTAAATAACCGCGGAACGAGGGAAATATTCCCTTGGATTCACTTTATAGCCTGTGCATCCACCATGTGGATGGAAAATCATCTGGTATTTTGTTATATTATGTTTCCAGTACGTCTTGCTTCTAGAGATTGATTAATATTTTAATATTCACATGAAGTATGTAGCTGTGCCATGGCATGCATTTTTGCTAAGTCCTATACGGTACAATATTATAATT